GAGGTTTCCAAGAGGTTTTCAACATCAAAGCTTGGGTCGAGGTAAAACTCTTTGAAACTTACTTTAGATTTTCAGATTTAGCTTTGTGGAACTCGTTTTAGTCGAGTTTGGTGATTTTTGGTTTAAATTTTGTTTTTGAATGGAATTCAAATGGGATTTGGTGAAACCTTGATGAAAATTGGGGGTTTTCGATTCTTTGGACCCCATTTGTTGATTTGAAACTCGATCTATACATTTCTTTTGAGAATATGTCGAAATCGGACCCAAAATTTACAGGTTTTGGCTTTGTTCCTCGCGAATCGGCCATTGTTGACCATGGAATTCTTCCCCACCGGTCAACCGGTCCAGTCGACCGGTCACCCTTCCATAGGTCGACCGATCCGGTCGACCGGTCACCTCTCCATTGGCTGACCAGTGGAGTTACACTCCTCTGTCACCGGTCGACCGGTTCCCACTGAAACCGACCCTAAACAGCCTAGAAACCCTGTTTTGACCCCGAAATTTGATGTGGGATTAACCTAACCTCATTTGAGAACTCAAAATGAGTGGATTAGCCACATGAATCCTTGTTTGCCATTCGATTCTCCGGAATAAATTTCCATTGTCAAAGAATTATGTTTTGAATTAAGAATTGTTTATGAACATTGATTTTGAACTATGGCACACTAATATGATACAATTGCATCTAATTAAATGAGAATGTTTGGTGAGAAAGATCAAACTCTAAATTGTTGATTTTGATGGGAAAGTTAGTGGCACGATTAGAATTGGAGCCTCAAAGGAAAGTAGAGGCTAGGAGAACGGAAAGCTAAACCAGGTTTAATATCCAAAAGGTAGGATATTCTTGTCCATATCCTTGTTAGCCTCACTTTAAATGATTTTGGCCAATGAAAATGTTTTAGAACAAAACATGTTGAAAGAAAATGATTTTAAAGGAAATAGCATGAATAATGCCATTAAGTTTTCCAATGATTTTGGAAATGAGATTTTAAAGAGTATCATTCTTAAAATGAAATATTTAAGAAATGATACAACGCATGGTGGCCACAGAGATCGGGATGTGAGAATCGCATCCTTGGGGGCAGGTCCCGAAACCCGTACGAATCCACTTCTTGTTTAGTGGAATTATGGCTCTGCACTTTTCATAGAGAGACATTTTTACCGCTTCTTGTTTAGTGGTATGATGAGCTGCACACTTTCATTATACAGATATTTTCTACTATGAGTATTTCCTTTTCTAAAAAGGGTTGACCGGTTCCGGGTGTATATCTTCAGACCGTAAGTACCTTTATTTTAAATGCTTTATAAAATTATATCCTACTGGGCCTTTCGCTCACCTTTCTTGTTTTCAAATGTATTAAACCCCTCCAGGAGACGCTAGGAGTAGTGCGGAGTAGGTAGCTACTACCGGTGGCGTGGACTTGACCTCAGAAAGTGAAGAGTTATCTTTCCTCTTATCTTTTACTTCGAGGCATGTATAAAAGATTGTGGATTGTAAACTTAAATATTACTAGACTGTGGTTGATGTCACATTTACTCTTGTTTATATTCATGTATGCTAAACTCCTGTGGGAATTCCTGACTTGATACCAGGGACGTGGTTTTAAACTTGTTTGGTTGGAAATTCCACCACCGTTCTTGAAATTGATCTTCTCCTGAATGAAAGGGGCTCGTTTGGAAATACCTGGATGTTTTGGATTTGAAAGAAATTAAAATATTTGCTAATCACTATCTCAAACAGGTTTAAGTTTCTAGACGAGCCTCCATGTCACAAACCCCGGTTTGGGGGGCGTGACACGACTTGGTATCAGAGCCCTTGGTTTAGAACCTTAGGGTTTGGAATTATGCATACATGAATGACATCAAAAAACCACTAAAACCGTCTAGCTTTTCAGATAAAAGAATGCCGCTGCGTCGCAAAAACCCTAACCTACCGGCGATGCCGAATGAGCAATTCATGGAAGCCATGTACGCCGCCTTCCAGGGGATGGCTACTAGAGCCCAAAATGAATGTCCCGCGGAGGACAGAAAATAGAACTACTTCCGTGAGTACAGGCGTAGTTCAATTCCTACATTCACTAGCGCGGGTGGACCCCAGGAAGTCGAGTATTGGTTTGAATCGGTGTCTAAGCATTTAAGTACCATGGGAGTACCGGATGAGTATTGGGTGGAATTCGCAGCTTTTAAGTTTGAAGGTCCTGCAGGTGCATAGTGGAAGTATATTTGGCAAATGCATGATGTAGAGGGGATGACTTGGAAACAATTCGAAGCACTCTTTAATGAGCAATTCTTTCCTCAAAGTTATCGAGATGAAAAGGCCATGGAATTCATGGGCCTACAGCAAGGGGATATGACAGTGAGGGAATACGAAGCTAGGTTCAATGAACTGTCCTGTTTTGCTCCTTCCTTGATTGAATCGGAGCGCACGAAGTGCCTAAAGTTCAAGAAAGGTCTTAAGGGTGTGATCCAAAAATCAGTGGTAGCTTTAAGGCATCGAGTCTATAGTGACTTGGTTGCAGCAGCCATCTCTGTTGAACAGGAGCACATCACCTTTCTCCAGGATCGAGAAGCTTTAGGAAGAACCTCAGGAGGACCCCAAAGGAGTAACCGAAAAAGCCGTGATCAGGGGCATGGTAGTGGGGGAGTGCCTAGTGGTAGCAGTGGCTCTTCGGGAAGTAGGAAGAGTGGACCCTATAGCTTCAAGTGCCACCATTATGGGGAGTTAGGGCATATCAAAAGGAACTGTCCTAGTAGGGGCCAACAGGTGAACCAACAGACCCGGCAATTACCGCAGAATCAAAGGGGTATTGCTCCTAGTCAAGACAGACTTCCACAGTTCACGCCTTTCTATCAGCCCCAGTTACCTGCACAGATGCCAATTCCTCCTGCACCGATCTTCCGTCCACTGAACTACTCTTACTTCCGGCCACAGGCTTCCGTATCAGTACAGTCTACCCCACCGCAACAACAGTATAAGCCTGGAAACCAGAGGCCTAACAACAACGAGAGAGGAAAGGGGAAAGCACCGGGGCAGATGCATACCATGGCCGGGGAAAGTTCTGGAGCTCATGCCGGAAACCCAGTCGTCGAGGGTATGGTACCTATCTTACATTCTTTTGTACGAGTTTTGTTCGATACTGGTGCTACGCACTCTTTTGTTTCCACTACTTTTGTGAAAATTTTAGGTTTGAAACCCGATGACTTAGAGACATCAATGTTTATAAGTTTTCCATTGAGACGTGTGGAGGTGACTATTGTATGTAGGTCGTGTGTGATCACGATTGGAAGTGAGAAATTAAAGGCAGATTTGATAATCCTTCCCATGAATCAGTTTGATGTGGTGCTTGGAATGGATTGGTTGTCAAGATATGGGGTGATTGTTGATTGCCACCGTATGAGAGTTACCTTGACTACCGATTCTGGTACGACAGTGACGTATCAGGGAGGTGTTAACCTAGTTACAGAAGAATGACTACTGAGGCATAGTGTCGGAGGACGGCAGAATTTAGCTTGTTTCTCATTCCTTTCGGCATTAGAGGGTGAATCCGGTGTCACCGGGGAGAATGTTGAGGTCCCCGTGGTCGATGAATATGCAGATGTATTCCCTGATGAGTTGCCTGGTTTACCGCCTGACCGGGAGATCGAGTTTTACATCGACTTACTTCCGGAAACGGCTTCGATTTCTATTGCTCCGTATTGAATGGCGCCTGCGGAGATGAAAGAGCTTAGGAAACAGCTCGGAGAGTTGGCAGAAAAGGGATTCATTAGGAACAACACTTCCCCGTGGGGTGCACCTATCTTGTTTGCGAAAAAGCACGACGGATCCCTTCGGTTGTGCATAGACTACCGACAATTGAATAGGGTTACCGTGAAGAACAAGTACCCATTGCCGATGATCGATGAGTTGTTCGATCAACTGGGAGGATCACGGTACTACTCAAAAATCAACTTGAGATCCAGGTATCATCAGTTGAAGATTAGGGAAGATGATATACCAAAAATAGCTTTCAGGACTCGCTATGGGCGTTATGAGTTCTTAGTAATGCCTTTTGGATTAACGAATGCTCCTGCCGCCTTTATGGATTTGATGAATCGAGTCTTCCGCCCGTATTTAGACCAGTTTGTGATAGTCTTCATTGATAACATCCTGGTTTATTCAAAGACTTGGGAAGAGCATGAGCAACATTTGAGGATTGTTCTCCAGACTCTTCGAGAACACCAGCTTTATGCAAAGAAGGAGAAATGTGATTTCTGGTTGATAGAAATCAAGTTCCTTGGACATGTTATATCTGGACAAGGAATTTCAGTGGATCCCTTAAAGATTAAAACGGTGCTACAATGAGAACGACCAAAGAACGTAGCCGAAATTCAAAGCTTCCTAGGACTTGCGGGGTATTATCGACGATTTGTAAAGGATTTTTCAAGTATTGCTGCTCCAATGACTCGGTTGACTAAAAAGGAAGTCAGGTTTGAATGGGATGCCGATTGTGAACATGCATTCCAAAAACTGAGGACTAGGCTAACCAGTGCACCGATTCTAACAATTCCTAATAGCGATGAGCCGTATGAGGTGTATTCCGATGCATCAAGACGAGGACTTGGGTGTGTTCTGATGCAAAATGGACATGTTGTGGCCTATGCATCTCGTCAACTGAAGCCACATGAACAGAACTATCCCACACATGATCTAGAGTTAGTAGTAGTGATTTTTGCTCTCAAGATATGAAGATGCTACCTTTATGGAGTAAAATTCCATATCTTCTCTAATCATAAGAGTTTGAAATATCTGTTCACTCAAAAGGACTTAAATCTGAGACAAAGAAGGTGGATGGAATACATGGAGGATTATGACTTCACCTTGCAGTATCATCCTGGAAAAGCCAACGTAGTAGCAGACGCTCTCAGCAAAAAGACTCCAGGAATTCTAGCATCTTTGGCATTGGAAGATTGGAAACGGAGTGAAACTGTAGGCGATTATGATCTTCAGTATTATGAGGATTCTTGCCAAGCTATGGTGTACAACTTGGTTTCAACGCCAATTCTTATACAGCAAGTCAAGCATAACCAATGGAAGGATTCGCATCTTCAAGGAATTTGGACTCGAGTTCAGAATGGAGAAAAACTGAACGAATGGAATATTCAGGAAGATGGAATGCTCTACTTCAAGAATCGCCTTGCTGTTCCTCAAGTGGATGAGATAAAGAAGATGATCCTTCACGAGGCTCACAAATCGAGGTTCGCTATTCACCCTAGGAGTACCAAAATGTATCAAGACCTCAAAAGGTAGTATTGGTGGAGAGGTATGAAGAAAGATGTTCGCCAATACGTGTCAGAATGTGTGACTTGTCTTCGAGTCAAGGCTGAACATCGGAAACCTGCTGGGGAACTGCAGCCTCTTCCTATTCCTGGATGGAAATGAGAATACATTACGATGGATTTTCTAATGGGATTGCCGAGGACTGAACATCGGCATGATGCCATATGGGTTGTTGTGGATAGGTTAACGAACTCCGTGCACTTCATTCCCTTTCATGCGACTTATTCCAGGAAAGTTCTAGCAAAGTTGTATCTAGAGCACGTTGTCAGACTTCACGGAGTTCCGTTGTCTATCACATCGGATCGTGACACTCGTTTCAATGCTAGATATTATAGAAGTTTCCAAGAAGCCATGGGAACTGAACTGAATTTCAGCATCGCATTTCATCCTCAGACCGATGGACAATCTGAGAGAGTTATTCAGATTTTGGAGGACATGCTTCGTGCTTGCATTCTAGATTTTGGTGGAAAGTGGAAGAAGTATCTCCATTTGGCTGAGTTCGCCTATAACAACAGTTATCAGAGTAGCATTGGGATGGCACCATTCGAGGCATTGTATGGCAGACCTTGTAGATCGCCAGTTTGTTGGCTTGAGTTAGAAAATTGACTGACCCTTGGACCGGATGTTATCCAGGAGAATAATGAAAAGATAGCCGTGATCCAGGAATGACTGTTAACGGCTCAAAGTCATCAGAAGAGTTATGCTGACAGGAGGCGTAGACCCATAGAGTTCTTAGAGGGCGATTTTGTCTTGTTAAGAGTCTCTCCGCGCAAAGGGGTTACTTGTTTTGGTGTGAAAGGAAAACTCACGCCGAGGTACATCAGGCCATTTCAGATCACACAACGAGTCAGTGTCGTTGCTTACCGCCTTGATCTTCCTCCAGAATTGTCTCACGTGCACAATGTGTTCCATGTTTCTATGCTTCGGAAGTGTCAACCCGATCCAGAAGCCATTGTGCAATGGTATGACGTGCCGATCTAATATGACACAACTTACGAGGAAGCACCCATACAGATTCTTGACCGGAAGATGAAAAGCCTACGTCGACTTGAGATACCGTTGGTGAAGGTGTTGTGGCAACACCATGGCGTTGAGGAAGCAACGTGGGAATTGGAAACGACGATGCATGAACGATATCCGTATCTGTTCATATCGTGAGGTAAATTTCAATTTCAAGGATGAAATTTCTTAAGGAGGGTAGAATGTAATGCCCTCCGAAATTAAACTTGTTTAATTATGGCAATTGTGGTTTATTAGTGTGCCTAATTTTATTTTCTTAATTAATCATGAGCTTTTAAATTTATTTTTAGTATTTGCAATTTCACCCCTATTTATTTTATTTATTTTTCCTTAATATTTTTCCTAATTTTCTTTTCCTTCTATTTCTCCCTTTTCCTTTTTTCCTTATTTCTTTTTCCTTTCCCTTCCTCACGTTACTCTCCCTCTTTCTCCTTCTGTCTCGACACTCTCTCTCTTTCTCTCTGTCTCGACACACACTCTCTCTCTCTCCCTCTCTCAATCTCCCTCACTCTCTCTCTCTCTATCTCGAGCTCTCTCTCCCTCTCTCCCTCTCTCGTTCATCTCTCCCTCTCTCTCTCAAAGTTTCCTTTCTCAAGGGCCAGATTTAAACCAAAAACGGAGGTTTCCAAGAGGTTTTCAACATTAAAGCTTGGGTCGAGGTAAAACTCTTTGAAACTTACTTTAGATTTTCAGATTTAGCTTTGTGGAACTCGTTTTATTCGAGTTTGGTGATTTTTGGTTTAAATTTTATTTTCGAATGGGATTTGGTGAAACCTTGATGAAAATTGGGGGTTTTCGATTCTTCGGACCCCATTTGTTGATTTGAAACTCGATCTATACATTTCTTTTGAGAATATGTCGAAATCGGACCCAAAATTTACAAGTTTTGGCTTTGTTCCTCACGAATCGGCCATTGTTGGCCCTGGAATTCTTCCCCATGGGTCGACTAGTCACCCTTCCATAGGTCGACCGATCCGGTCGACCGGTCACCTCTCCACCGGCTGACCGGTGGAGTTACACTCCTCTGTCACCGGTCGACCGGTTCCTACTAAAACTGACCCTAAACAGCCTAGAAACCCTGTTTTGACCCCAAAATTCGATGTGGGATTGACCTAACCTCATTTGAGAACTTAAAATGAATGGATTAGCCACATGAATCCTTGTTTGCCATTCGATTCTCCGGAATAAATTTCCATTGTCAAAGAATCATGATTTGAATTAAGAATTGTTTATGAACATTGATTTTGAACTATGGCACACTAATATGATACAATTGCATCTAATTAAACAAGAATGTTTGGTGAGAAAGATCAAACTCTAAATTGTTGATTTTGATGGGAAAGTTAGTGGCACGATTGGAATTGGAGCCTCAAAGGAAAGCGGAGGCTAGGAGAACGGAAAGCTAAACCAGGTTTAATATCCAAAAGGTAGGATATTCTTGTCCATATCCTTGTTAGCCTCACTTTAAATGATTTTGGCCAATGAAAATGTTTTAGAACAAAACTTGTTGAAAGAAAATGATTTTAAAGGAAATAGCATGAATAATGCCATTAAGTTTTTCAATGATTTTGGAAATGAGATTTTAAAGGGTATCATTCTTAAAATGAAATATTTAAGAAATGATACAATGCATGGATATTTAAGAAATGATACAATGCATGGTGGCCATAGAGATCGGGATGTGGGAATCGCATCCTTGGGGGTAGGTCCCGAAACCCGTACGGATCCACTTCTTTTTTAGTGGAATTATGGCTCTGCACTTTTCATAGAGAGACATTTTTACCGCTTCTTGTTTAGTGGTATGATGAGCTGCACACTTTCATTATACAGATATTTTCTACTATGAGTATTTCATTTTCTAAAAAGGGTTGACCGGTTCCGGGTGTATATCTTCAGACCGTAAGTACCTTTATTTTAAATGCTTTATAAAATTATATCCTACTGGGCCTTTCGCTCACCTTTCTTATTTTCAAATGTATTAAACCCCTCCAGGAGACGCGAGGAGTAGTGCGGAGCAGGTAGCTACTACCGGTGGCGTGGACTTGACCTCGGAAAGTGAAGAGTTATCTTTCCTCTTATCTTTTACTTCAAGGCATGTATAAAAGATTGTGGCTCGTTTGGAAATACCTGGATGTTTTGGATTTGAAAGAAATTAAAATATTTGCTAATCACTCTTTTAAACAGGTTTAAGTTTTTAGATGAGTCTCCACGTCACAAACCCCGATTTGGGGGACGTGACACCTTGGCATCTACCCCTTCCAATCGCCAAGCCCTGAATGTGGTCCTGGATGATACATGAATTAGACAGAAAGTTAACACGGCAATAATGGCTGAGGGTAAGAGTGCTGACACTGAGCAGATTG